TAATGAAAAAGTTCAAGCCGAAGGTGAGACGTTTATTCCGCATTAAAATTTCGCGACATTAAGCGGATTTGCTTCCGAAACGTTTCTCGCGGGATTGAACTATCAAAATCTTATTAACGGGTTTAAGTAGATTTATTAAGTGGATCCCTGTTTAACAGGTATATTCGAATATTAATACTTTCGTAATTATCCAAATTTGCATTTAAAATGTATGAGAATTTTCTTCGAAAGATGGTCCTTCTTTTTCTTTTTATTCCTCTCGCAATTAACTTTTGAAACTCTGTCCAATCAATAACTCTTTATTCTAATCTAACGATAAAATACGATAAAATAAAGAAAATCTTCAAAAAGTATTTCTTTCTCTCTCTCTCTCTCTAAAACTTCCTCAGAATCGACCTTCCTCCATTTTCTCTCAAAATTCCTCGAATGGGAACACACCGACAAAAAGCCATTCGTCCAGCAAGCGGAGAGATTTTCGCTCGGAGTTGCTTCGAGGTTGCATCGAAAAAATAAAAGATAAAAACACACAGGCAGCTGGATTTCCTTTTTTTTCCTATTATCTCTCTCTCTCTCTCTCTCTCTTTCTGTCTTTCTTTCTCCGCGTGTGTATGCATTTGTCGCAACGCGCGAGGCACGTTCATTAAAAGCGCGTGCATTATTTACGCGAATCCGTTCACCGAGACAGAAAAACGCGGTGGCCTCGCGTGTCACTCGCGCGATGCACGCACGAATCCGCGCGAAACTCCCTCGGGCCTTGACAGCAACAGCTACAATTATGTCGAGAGGGAGAGAAAACGGATCGTTGTTTGTCGAGTCTATTGTATACGAGAAAGGAAAAAGAGAAAGAAAAAAGGAGAGAGAGAGAGAGAGAGAGAGAAGAATGGAGGAACCGATTTGGGGTTTGATTTTAATATTTAACCGGGCGAGGGATTTTCTTAGTTATCTTTGTGGAATACATCTTTGTGGAATTTTTAGTTAAATTAAAAATTTACGCGACCTCCTTCTTTGAATATTGAATCATTCATCGAGGAATAGAAATAGATATAGCGATTAATATTTTGGCATACGCGAAAGAAAACTGGAAGGATATCGATCGATGGATCTCCGAAGAATGGAGAATTCAATTGTTTGCAGTGAAATTATCCTCGTTTTTCCTTTCTTTTTGTTTAATTAATCCCGATCGCAATCACAAGATCCGTTGATTGCACGGAAATAAAAGTAGGTGAGCTTCTTTAATCTTCTTTATGAACTTCTTGGTCATTTCTGACTCTCGTTTCATGGTTCATTAAGGGGGGACGACTCGATGTATAAGTCGGTCTCACTTTTTTCCCGGAGAAATTTTCTTAGCGACGATTTCTCGGGACATGTTATCCACGTTTCAACAGTTTATCGACGACATTAACGAAATTGAAGAGGAATGGAATTAAATCCACTCGATCGTTCGTTTTATCCATTTCAAGTCCAATCGATATTTATCCACCTTTCCAAATATCTTATAATTCAAGCTTATAATTTAACCAATAATACTTTATCACTCGTTATTGCAATTAATTCGAGAAAAACGAAATATCTCCGAACATGAACTCTTGCTCCGTTCAGTCCCCATTTTTCGAAGAATCCCGTTCAATTTCCGCCATTCCCTCTCGCAGCGATATTACCGTCATAATAACATCACGGACGATCGTTCAACTGTCACAATGTCGCTCGTTCATCGACGATCCTTCTTCAAACGCGTCAAAGATTCGCATCAACAATTTATACACCGATGCTCTTTGTTGCGCGGACTGCGCGCAATTTCGTTCGAATAACAATCGAATTGGCCGCGTGGGCGGCTTTATCCGTGCCCGCCTGTGTATGCAAATAGGTAAACGTCTATCGAATCACGACCCCCACGAGGCGCGCGTTTCTGTTACAGAGTTTCGAGAAGTGATAAAGTGGAGGGTAAAGAGAGGTGAGATAAGATCGGGAATCGGTGTGTACGCCCTGTGAATGCCGTGTACGTAACGCGCGATTGTCGGCGATTGCACGTTTCGTTCAACCGTGGGGAGCGTTAAGCATCGATCGAGCATAGATTTTTCCCGCCAGAGATTTACGAGGTGAACGAGATTTTTTACGCGGGCCTGGCCGATGAGTGTGCCAGGGGAACCAGTGAACCGGAAGAAGGCTGGGTCCCGCCTTTCGATTCACCGTTTCCTATCCGATCGGTTATTATTATTATTATTATTTAGGTTACGTTTCGTTTGAAATCTTTTTTATAATCTCTCTTAACTCGTTGTTCTGGTTTCGAGACAGAGTTGGAGAGTTATTACTACAACTTTCTAGGATTTCGAATTTTGAAAATATTCACCGTTTAAAATAATATTCGTTTCTTCTGAAAAAACTGTTTCACATTTGAAAATTCGCGAACTCTTGAAGAATGGGCGTGAGGAGAACAGAATTCGTTTCGCGAATTTTCTAATTAAAAATGCGGCGTAAATGCTTCTCGGCCGAAAGAAAAGGAAGGAAATAAATCTCGTGTCTCGCGAGGGCGGGGAACAATTAAGAAAACTCGGTGGGATGAAAAGAAAGGATGGAACGAAGCGAATTCGTGTATAAGTCGGGCGGGCCGTCCACAGGCATTGCAATAAACGGAATCACGAGGCGGAAAGTCGGTTGTTGAATTTATATCCGTTCCGGTTCGCGGCGAAAACATTTTCTTCGCGGCCGATGTTTAACGGCTCGCGTTTCGTCGAGTGAAACCGACGAACTGAACAACCAGGGACGAGTTTCCTCCTCCTTTTTCTACGCAAAAAACGAACGCGATAAACTTATACACGGGTCGTAACCGCTCTCTGATAAGAGATCATCATCCGGTCGAGGAACGGAGTGGAACGACGACCTCTGTCCAGCGAAATCTAGCAAGATTTTCTATATTCCAGGTTGCTTGGTGTTGGTGAGATTGTAATGCAGCGCTCGTCCGTGGTGAAGCATGAAACATTCTACGATTACGATAGTACAGGATCGAAACGTTCGATACGAGATGAGAGAGAAACGATCTGTCGATAGATTCGAATTATTATTGTTATGATTAAATTTAATTTTCCAGATTCCTTCTACGTATGTAGAAAGAAAGATTAGATGAGGAGTTGACAAATCGGCGAAACCGTCAATAACGATTTTCTTTCCAATCCCTTGATTGACAACGATATCACCTGTATCCACCCACAAGCGCCGAAGGCGACGCGGAATAAATCCCGTTGCGGGGCAACGGGAACAATGAAACGTCCAATCAACCGAGGACAATGAAACGTGCGATTAGCCACGATTGTCCCGGCCGCGTAAACACGCCAATTATCTTAGAGGCCCGCGTGGAAAACGGATCAGGGGTAATAACGAAGAGAATCGAGACGATCTTCTGCTGCTCTTCTTTGAGCGAAGGAAAAAAAAAAAGAACCAGAAGGTTTAATTCAATCAAGTTCGGCAAAATTTAGATTTCCATTTGCCCGATCGTGAAATTGGAAAGCGTTTCTTCGAAATCGAGATTAAGCAGGTATTGAAGTGGAAATTACAGCACGGTAGCTCAAAAGTTGATGGAAGTAAGTGAATAAGTTGGAGAAAGAAATGGAACATTGGTTGGGATCAATTTAATTTGAGAAAGATTGTTGCATATTTATTTTTGATATTTTGTTACGCAGCGGAATAGAGACAGAAATTTCCAAGATTAGAATCCTCTGATGCGATGAAGTGCTCTTTAAGATGTCCAATATACAATTGTAGTATATCCTCTGAATATATTTTATTCTTCTTAATTGCAAGGAATTGTCCGAGAAAAGCCGCTATAGTACACGGCCGACTGAATAAGCCAGAACCTGTACGTGCCAGCAACGAAAATTTATCTCGATGTTTTGACCACGAGCAATGCTTATAAACGTTCGATACAAAATGTTTAGTTCGCGCGTGTTTAATCTTACTCACGTTTATTCCATAACAAAATCTCTCGAGAGGCTTCCGCGTCTCATCGTTCCCCCCTCCGTGATATTTGGCCAGGACTATACGGTGTCGCTCGTTAGACAGTGGTGGAGCATTTGTCTTTGCTGAAGCGGTTGCGTCGACTAACGAATCACCTGTCGTTGGAACAATGCCGTTCCCTCTACGTGTGTACTCACGGAACAATTCCCCTCTGTCGATCCCTCCGCCAGACGAAGTTAACTGGCAAACGCACGCGTGAAACAAAACGCGGCCAACGCGGTTCGGAGATCGATCATAAAAAGCGATGGTCTGTTGAGTAAGTAACTACACCGTGAGCTGCTCAGGATTCGTTGCAAATTTGGATTCGACAAGCGAGTGAAAATGTACTCGTGGGACAGTGATTCTCAACCACTGTGCCGCCAGGCATTTCTTCATCAATCATCACTACGTTCAAATATTTATTTGAACTGAAGAGGTAGAGTTTTACAGGATACAGAAATTTGTGTGCTGTGGTAATTTATTTTTATCCTCTTCCTGTAAAAAATTCTGACTATGGGCCTGGCGAATGCATATGCTAATTTTACAAAATATATATTACAGGTACATGAATTAACCAATGAAATAAAATTCTTTTAATCTATCTTATTGTGCCGTCAAATTTTTAAATTGTTAAAAGCGTACCGTGAAAAAGGTTGAGAATCACTGAGCTAAGAATTAAGTGGAATAAATTATTGAACAAAGAGGGTTCTCGAGTGGAATTCTCTACTTTTTTACTTCGATTTATCAATATTTCGATTTATCGATATTTGTTTCTGCATTCAAATTTCACGGGATTAATAGCCGATCCAAACACGTGCCCGCGTACAAAGAGCGTGCGTGTAAGAGCGGCTCCTCGTACGAATCCTCGCGCGAAAACTACGAACGACACGGACAAACGATGCTACCAGTTTCCAGTACTGTTTCAGAACAGAAACAGCGCGATCGTGGTAGACGTTTCGTTTTAATTAAGTAAAACGAAGGAACGTAGCTGCGGTTGACGTCGCCGGACCATTTTTCTCCTCGCGTTTTCCGGCAGATTCCGGCCTCTAGGGATGGGATCGAGCACTGTTGAAAACTCTTTCAAAAGTTAACAGTCGATTGTTTCCAAATAGAATCTGTTACAGGAGCAACGCGACTAACTTGCTTATATTTCAAATTCTTCTGATGAACAAAGTATACACGTCCAAGAAACTTGTTTGAGACAATGAGTAGGTGTAGATAGTAGATATCTCAAGATTGTGTATTAAGGAAAAATTTGAAAACGACTCACCAATTTATAATATATATAGTAAGATATTCTCGAAATACTGTCGAGTTATTTATCTATATACATCTATATACAAGCTTCTTATAATAATTCGTCGTTAATCTCTAGAACACTCCAGCACGGAAAATACTGAAAACAGGGGAGTGAATCCGAGACTTTCTCATCCTCGAAATATTCGGAATATTAATAGAGACAAAGTTGCAAGAAGATATATAACTGGTCGTGGGTCGCAAAGTCACACTAGTATCCTGTCCTATACCTTCTAACTTTCGATACTCGATGGAGATTCCACCCGCATTTTTCCTAGCTGTAACACAACGTGCGCAAACAATGCGACGAAGAGAATGCATTGTCCCGGATGAGAAGAATCCCGGAGAAAATTCCGGATTTCAAAATAAATCTGCAGAAAAATCGAATATAATAAAACTTGGAACTTTATTGGAAACTGTTCCATCCTTGAACTCCTCCTCCACCACTGCTCGCGCCCATCCCTACCGTCCTCGGGGAAAGGAGGGGAAGATTCCTCTCGATCGGCTATTTTCTGCCGCAGGATAATACATCACACGTGGGCCCCCGCGTCATCGTGTTACATCGTAAAACACCGTTACCGCGATTCCATCCACCGGCGGATCGTTAATATTTGATTTTACTGGGTTGACCGGGAGTACAAGAGTGCGGACTGTTGCGGGAGGGGAAAAAGAGTGGCGGCTCGTCTGGAGGCGAGCCAGCTCGATAAATTCAGCCGAGGCCGTGCGTCTCGGGACGACTGTGCAACAACGTATCCGCGTCTTCGTCCTTCCTCGACGGTGGTGGGTGACAGGTGAAAGGGATCGCAAAACGCCACTCCAATAAAATCTGAATGTTATGATACCGCGAGGAGGGATCGATTTTCGAGCCTACCGAGCGAGACGTGTGTATATATATCGGTAGAGGAACAACCTAAGGGATCCTTAAGGGCTGCTTTGTGAAACTCTGAGGCCGAGTCTCGCTTCCTGCATATAAGCGGAGGAGGCGTGTTGCTCGTCGAATGGTTGTGGGTGTGATAGATCGAGTTGGGTTGATGGCTGGGAGGGGGAGCAGTGGTGGTTGATCGAGAATGGTGAATGGAGGAAGATGGTTCGTTGTCGGATGATGAAGCGGGTGTGGCGGGTGTATATCCGCTCGAATGTATCGAAAGGATTTCCAGTTGCTTGTGCGGGTATTTGTGAGCATCGTGAAAAGGGGGACGATGGTTTTAAGGGGATTCGTGGTATATTGTATATTTCCAAACGTGCGTATTGTGACGTGCTCGAATTGCATTTGAACGAGTTCTTTGTACTTTAATTCTGAAGAAAATGATTCTCAAATTTTGAGACGTAATAAGTGATGTAGTCAAAAAATGTTTGCATAGTGGAATGAAAAGGAGATTATTGTACTTATTCTTTATTTTGGTTCCCAAAAAACTTTCCATTCATAACAAAGAATAATTATTTCAACATTGCAATGGCTACTCTGAGCAATGATTTCTTCGTATATTTTTTCACAGTAGGAAAGCGTACGCGCTATAATTCATATTGATCTCTAATGAATCAAACGTTCAACCGACGAGTGTTTAGTTCTCCGATCGTACAATCGCGTACGCGATTAATCTCAATGCAACTGGTCACACGACTATTCAAATCGAATGAGCTTAGGGTCTCCAAGTGGCCGATAACGCAATTATTCAGATCCAGAAGAAACGAATCGCGTAATTATTCAAATCTCGAGATCGGGGTTTGCCGCATTGGCGGCTCGAGATCGCCAGCAACGAATAATTACATAATTATTTGCAAATACGATTCAATCTCAACTGAACGACTGTCGATTGAATTGCTTAGATATCGATGTAGCCGATTCGATGCAGCTGCAGTATCCTCGATCGATCTAATACGTGCGAATATTCGTATCGAGAACAAATCCATTTCGCGATCGTCCAATTAATCATTCGACACATTGTGATAAGGGTGATGGAATGGAAGGTTAGAGTGTTGGAGATATCGTGATAATCGTTGTAGCGCGATAAATCAATTTTATTGATTAAATTATAGTTGCTCGTTACAACGACATCTTGAAAATGTTGAAGGATTTATTGAAGAGCTATCTCGATCGTTCGAGAATTCTATGGATTCTCTACTTTTAAAATTATTTAGAACAAGATTGACAATATTTTAAAAAACTTGAGAATATTAATCAAAATTCTATCGAATAAAATGATCGATACTTTGTATTCGCTAGAAAACATAGACGCAAACTTTGATACATATCTCAGAAAGAGTAATAAAATTCCATACTTTCGATCACGCCACGTTAAAATTCTCCATCCATGTAGCTTAATTCAAGCATTCGTAGGAAAGCTTAACTGTACAAAAGACAAATATTTCGTTTATCGTAAAAAAAATAGAGAGAGAGAGAGAGAAAAAACATTCGACTACCTCTCATGACTTCCATGGATGGAGGGTGGAAACGGAAACTACACTAGCGAGGCACTAATAATTCATGCGTGAAAAATGTTGTCCGATCCAGATAACCAAAAAAAAAAAAAATAAATAAATAAAACAATCGATCGATTCGATTTATCACCAAAGCGACCACCACTCCTCTTTTTTCTCTTTTTTTTTCGAGTCGCCTCGTGTATAAATTCGTCTCCATTTGCAATGGAACGCGAGACTCGGCTCGCGCGCGGTGGAAAATGGACGACGCGCCTCGCATTCTTTTCGTTCCTCCTGTCACGATTATTCGTGAGTAGCAAGCTGAGCAAGGAAACCCGTCGATACGTCAAATCGACTTGGTGGAGGCCAGCCCTTTTCCTCCAACGCCCTTCGCCGAGCAACCCTCCCCCGACGCCTAAACTCAATCAAGAGATTCCATTTGCATTTCGCCGCGCGTACGGTGTTTCGCGCTACGTGGCAAATGGAGGAAGAAGATCGAGGAAAAAGTTTCGTTTCGTTCCTCCTCTTCGTGTCCTCGCCCCCCTTACATTTGTTCCAGGGTGTTCGAGATGTATCGGCCATTCCTGTGCTGCAACGATGACGCGAGAGAGAAAGAGAGAAAGAAAGAAGAAAGGGAGGAGGATTTTATAGGAGTCCTATTGTTTTCAATTCGTTTTAGAAAAACGGATAGAAGAATGTTCAAAGTTGGTCAGAGATAAAGTTGTTTCACGAAAGAGAGAAAGATCGATCTTCCAGATGTATATCCTTTTATCAATTTTGTTACGTAGCATATATAATTTATAATTCATCGACGAATAATAATAATATTAAGTATCCACTTTCGAGATACATGTACACTAAATGTGAAAAAAATTATATACACAGCTCGTGCATAATTCTCACGAATATTCAAATTATTCATCGTCAAATTGGACGATCGACGCGGAACATTCGTAGGATCGGAAATGCTGGAAAAAGTGGCACATCCGGTGCGCATCCGCTCATTGCCAGCAGAGAGGAGTCTCAGGAGTAGCGGTTGTCTGCAAACTTTGATTACATCTGCCAACGGTGGTCCGTTTCTAAACCGTGACGACGCAAATATATATAGACGCGTGCCGACACCTTATTCCTGGACGCCGGCGTCGAGTCGTTCAACCCCAACCTCCACTATCCCTCCTCGTTCCTTCTGGACTTCCTTCCCACGGAGACTGTCCCGGCAGATTTACTCCAGCTCCACGGTGGAAAACCCCATGGAAACGTATTTAAGCGGATGTCCCGACGACGCGAAAAGTAATTTCGTTAGCCGGGGGAGGGCCGCCACGTGAGCCGCCTGTCAAAAGTGCGCCTCGTGAACGATGAAAATGCGCCTCCACGGCCACGATTGGATTTCCGGCGGACGTCATTGTACCCGGCGAATTGAATCAACCTGGGTGAAGGTGTGTAGCCCGCCGAATCGCGGCCGATAACCGACCCCCTCCCAGATAGTGAAGACAATTTGCCCCTGTTATTTCCCTCTTCCTCTCTCATTCGCTTCTTTTCTTTTTTTTTTTTATTGCGCGATGCTCCGCTATTTTTCTTTGTCCAAGAAGGAGTATAAATGTTGAAACGTATGTTACGTATGTTCGATATTTTTTATTGATATTTGTATTGATTTTGGAATCGAGAGATTTTTGAATCGCGAAGCGATGGAGAATTTTAATTAGAAAACGAATAAGAGAGGAATTTTTTAGCGTTTCTTTCCAAAACCGTGTCTTTTTCCCACGCGTATTAACAAAGACGACTAGTAAACCGTTGCGTGACCTGCTTCCTTTTTTTCTCGTCTCCACGAGAACCCCATTCAACTCCTATATATATGAAAGAGGCGAGCCGATAAAGCAAGAGTGAACAAGCAGAGTTCGCAAGTGGCAGTTGCTCGAGCTTCAATTAGCGTCTCACCTTAACTTCTTCGTTAACTTCGACCGGCGAGCAATCGAGCCGCTCGACCCGGAAATTAATTATACCGCGATAAAGCGGCGGGAGGTCCCCCTCTATATCGAGACAGAATCGCTGCAAGCCATTCCAGGGCCGGTCTCTCCCGATCCGATTTAATAACCGAAGGAATCTCGACCGCGATAACGCGGCCGATCGCCATTATCGCCCTCGGCCAAGATGGCCGCGTTGCTTTTAATTGAACGAGACGGACGGGGACCACCGATGGACGCCGGTGCTGCTCGCGTTCCAGGAAGCACAAATCTGTCGGAGAGGAACGGAACGAGTGTCTCTGCGCCCAGCCCCCGATGGCGAGAGTGGAATATAATGTGTGGAACATAATACTGGTTGGGCCAGTGTTTCTCAACCTATGATATGACTGATGTATATTTTAAAATGTAATTTCTATTTCAATGATGGTGGAAAATGAATCGAATGATTTTTGAAAGGATTTTTGACAGGATCCAAGATCGTGTCAAGCAGTTAATTATCGTATCAACGGATTTCGTGGCTGGTTGTTTAGATACTCGAGATTTTCACTTTTTAATCTTTTAGTCGTTGGAAAGGAGAAAAGAAAAGGAGAAATCGAATTATTTTGTACCTCGCAAATCGATGAAACGCAATGCATGGGATATGAGATGTTTTTTAACTAACGAAGAAATAAGGAAAAATCGATTGTTATTGCTTGGTTTAAATGATTGCATCCTCTCATTCATGGAAGTCAAGTATCGGTTGAAGTAGAGGTATGAGTTCCGAGAAAGTGTTGCAGAGTATCCCTGGCACGTTTGCTGAGATGGGAAGCACGTTTTCGATAATCGATACGTCGAGATGTTTTAACCACGGTGGAGGAAAAGTTGCGAAACTATCGAAAGATACTCGTTTTTGATTCATGGGAAATCGTTGGGTGTTAAATGATTGAGGGATGGTATTAATCGTTAAAAATCTTTTCGAACTCTTTCTTTGCAATTAATTGAACGATAACTCGTTTAACTCGTTTAAATTTAAGAAAAAGAATATCCATCAGAGGATAATATTCGCGAATATTCGCTATATAAAATAAACATCGCGAATACAAGGATATAGAAATATTACTTCTTGCGATAACTGTCCTTTTTAAATTATTTCTTTGAAATAATTCCTTCGTTAGCAAAACTTCATTTGAAATACTAGATGTAGATGTCAATGAAGTTAGAAGAATATTAAACATCAAAAATGAAAAAGTATACGGGCAGATAGTAATTTCTCAGTTTTACAGACTCTCATAAAACTTGTTTCACCTTTGCGCAAGACATCGACATGGTGTTATTAAAAACCAGGGAGAAAACTGAAGGGAGCTTTCAATGACATTAAAGAACGTGGAGAAAGGGATGAAAGGAGGAAGAAAGGAAGGATGGAAGAGAATAGGAGGAAGCGAAAAAAGACGAATATAGGCTTGCATAAAGTATGCAAAGCTTGAACTCGTCTCTATTACATCTCCCATAACAAAATTAAAAAAGTTTCCACAGTATATTAAAGAGAAATATGCGGAGCACGATTTTATTAGGGATTCAATAAACGGATATAAACAGGGTGTTAATATATTCACGTGAAACACTTTTCGGGCGAAAACTAGAAAACAAAAGTTGACGGGTAAAAAATATCGGTCGAGAGACTTATTTTTCAAATTATAAACAATTAAAATTTACGCTAAATTTCTTGTAATTGCGTGTTGTGAAAAAAATTATACGGTCTATTTAACAAAGATTTTATTTAAATTTTAAGAAAGTTTTTTAACGCTCGTTAAGCATTCCCTTTTATTTCCAAGTTAAAGTAAGTTGCTTTTGGTATTCAATTAACAACCGTTTAAGAAGAAGGAAGGAGAGTTTAATAAGTGGGTAAAACTTCAAAATCATTAGATATTCTCTCAGAATAAACTTTAAGGCAAGAATTATTACGAAAAATATCGCGTGAAATCCGAGTCGTTCTTTTGTTCGAAAACTATCAGTATCATAGAATTTATAGAATTTGATAATTCTATAAAACGAAATGAATTTGGGACATAAAAATTCGATTCGAGTAACTCTATTCGTATCTGTCGCAATAAAAATCTATACCTCTATGAAAATATATCATTTATTTTTTCGAAATACACGCACAGCAAAGATTCTTTAAATTCCCACGCTCCAATATTTCCTCCAATAAAAGACATCCATTAAAAAATCTCTCTGTACTTTCACAGTCATAACTCTATTCGATTCGTTAATATCATTTCATTAATCTCCATACCGCCACAACGATTTGAATTACTCTTTGCCAAATATTTTTCCATCTAGCTTATTTAAAAAAAAAACTCTGAAAAGAAAGAAAAAGAAGAAAAACGAACAATAAACTACACGTATGTTTCCATCATTCGATAAAGCGCCATCTATGCAAATAAAAAATTCATCGCAGCGTCTATTAATTCAATTAACTTCAAGGTCGTTCTCGTTTCCAGTTACTTTTGGAAAATTTATAAACTTGTCGCGAAAGAAAAAAAAACAAAATTTTAAACTTTCGTCGAAAACGTTTTCCGACAGCGACAGTGGAGAGAATTAAAAAAAAAGAAAAGGAAGAAAAAAAGAAAGAAAGAAAAAAAAGCAAAATTCAGTACACCCGACGAGGAATTTTTCCCGATGCAAACGATTCCACCCGTTTGGAAATTGAAAAGCGGTGGAAACACGGAAAGTTTGCGTTGCCCTTTTCGTTTGGAGCCGATTTTAAACGGCATCGGCCTCTCTTCACGAGCGAAAAGTCACACGTGGCGTAGGCGGACGTTGAAAACAAGTGTTGATCGATGTCACGTACCGATGCCCCCGCTTCGACAGATTTTTTCGCGCTTCTGTTTACCCACCGTCAACACGCTTTTTTCATTTAACGATTATCAAGAGGATTGCCTATCTCTGTGAACCGCTCTCCATCCACGAAATGCTCCGGGGCTGCATTTTAAATAACTCTCTGTTCTCTGCACGATGTCCAATACTTTTTTTTTATTTCCTCTTCCCTCCCCCCTTCTTTTTCACTTTTTCGAACTCTCTCGCCGGTTCCCCGGCCATTGTCGACCAGATGTCACGATTACGAACAACGATACACTATTCGATCTACACTATTCGAAAGATAATTTCGTTCGTCGAAATATGATTTAGTTTCGCTTCGATTTCCTTTATATTCGTCAATTTATCCAGTCATTGGTTCCTTCCTTGATTTATTCGCTTTTTTATTCTAATCGATGATTTTTCTTCTCTGTTAACTGTGTACTTGTGTTGAAATTGTATTAAAATTTGATTGAATTTCTTAAATTCTTAAACGTACATATAATATTAATAATAATAATTTTCCTTAATTACTTTTTGATTGTTCTTTCGCTTCGTCTTTCATTTACACACACATATATATATATATATATATTTTTATTTATTTTATTATTAACGAATAAATCTAATCATCAATCCGTAAAAGGATTGTTTTCCTTGTAACCCAAATACCCAATAGCTTACAAGTTTATCGATTCCATCCGAATCGTGATTGAACAAACACGTGGAACGATCTCAGTAATAAATCGGATGTACGAGCAAATCCAAAAATACAACCCGATTTGTCCAGATTTATCATCGATCGCAAACAATCGTGAAGCCTTCTGGTTTCAAAACAACCGATAAATTATCACCAATTTATATATAAAGAGAGACAGAGAGAGAGAGAGAGAGAGAGAAAGAGAGAAAGAGAAATAACATTTTCACCCTGGAATATTGAAATCTCGGCTCAAAGCGGAATAACAACGTATTGTAAATCCATGCATTTTACGCATACGTGCACTCCCTCCTCGCTCTCGTGTATCGTTCATTCATCCATTCGCTCATTCATTGGTATTCTTCTTAATTATTCCACGATGAATTACGTGAAAATTATTTATCACGACGCAACGATGGATAAATTAAAAATACAAATTGTCGTTAAGGAAACAAAACAAAAAAAAAAAGGGAAAGGGGGGACGGTGAAAGAAAATTCATAAATCATCTTGATGAAAAATACTTAACAGAAATATGATCGATACGATAATAATGTACAAAGAATCGAGCGAATTTTAATTAAATTCCGGTGGAATTTTTTTTAGAAAAAGAAGAAAGAAAATTCCAGAGGGGAGGGGGGAGGGGAAAAAGATTCGTTCCCGCGCGATTATCCATCCCTTCAAATGATTGATATCGAGTCGGAAATACATCAAACTTCCTCTCTTCCTTTGCCTCCTCGTTCACAGCCTCGGCAATTATTCCGGCAGCAGCATGACGACGAGGACGAGGACGACGACGACAATATCCAACCTGGTGAGAATAGGTCGAAAAAAAAAAAAAAAAGAAGAAAAAACAACGAGGAGGAAAAGCAACCGGTTGGACCTGGGGAAAAAAAATAAAAAACAAAAAAAGGTTGGCCGCCACGGTGAAATTAAAATCTCACGCAAGGCTTAAAAGAGCCGCTGGAAAAACGGCTCTCCTCCTTCGGTCTCGTTTCGTCGTTGAACCGGCGTGTCTGGGACGCGAAACGAGGAAATAATTTGCGTTTCCACCGTGCCGTTGTCGTCCACGTTTTCGACGACGGAACACTGGAGGAGAAGAATCGGCGAGAAAGGAAGGGGAAAGGGAGGACGAGAGAGAGAGAGAGAGAGAGAGAGAGAAGGAATAAAGAAGAAATAGAAAAAGGCAACGATGGAGACTGTACGAAGAGAACTCCTGTCGAGTAGGCCTGACTCGTTATTCGTTCTGCCGGTTTTTTGCCAAGTAAAAAAGTTCCACCGGGAAAAGGAACCAATTTAATAAGGATTTAATAACTTGCCAGGATCGGCGGGAGCAGACGGCTGTGTTTGACGGCTCCCTAGAAAAGCGAATTCGCGCTTTCGAGTTACCATTTCGTTGGGATAATGATATTTCGTTTGGCTAGATATCGCTTTGGCGAGCTTTCGATCCATACTTTTTTCGTTGGATTTCGTTCGATTTTGTCGATCGCATTATCGACTATCAGAAGAAGAAAACTACGTAAGATTTGATTTTACGAAGTACTCGTACACGATATCGAAGAATTATCTCACGCCGTTCCATTAACAACATACGCGATCCAACGTGATCGGTTGAATCCAATCTTCGATCGAAGGAAAAATCGAAGAGAAAATCTTCATGGTCCGATGACCTCGATTTCCACGTTCAAGATGGAGGGTCGCTTTGATCCGGCGCGTGAACGACAACGTTTCAAAAACGTTTTGCGAAAGAGTGGGGAGGGGTTGGCGATGAAATTTCTACGTAAGTTGCTCTTTGTGCCGGCGCGGCCCCCTTCCATACACGCAAATATTTGCCCAACGACGGAAAAACAGAAATACTTATTCGCGGCAAATAAATACGCGACAGAGAAATAGTGGAGTGGGTTGGTTGGTTACCTCGACACAAAGTGCGGGGCGAAAGTTGAAATGGAATTAGTTAAGCGTCGAGGGTTCTCCTCTCCTTGCACTCTTCCAAAAGAAAGAAAGGAAGGGAGGAAGAAATAAGAAAATAAAAAACAAACGCGTGTACACATCCCCCGTGTAGAGACAGGAAAATTTTTATGAGATTTTTTTTCTTTTTTTTTTTTTTTTTCGTAAGGAAGAAAGGAAAATTACATTTTTTTTTCGCCCGAACGAACGAGTTATTGACTCGTTCCACTCTGCCACCGCCGTCGAGATTAATTTCGTATTCGCTCTTTGTTGCAGGGATCTCCAAGGGAACAATATCTCGGTGATATTCAAGACCGACTTCGAGGACATGGCTACGCTTCACGTTCTGTGAGTAACCGTTTGTCAAATAACGAACCGAGTTGGACGAAAGGGGATAGCTTTAGTCGCGTGTCGCGAATGGAATTGAATGGGCGCGAGTCTGAAACCCGTTCGAGCGACTCTTGGCGAAAAGTTCGAGGCGAATTTCTAGTAAATTTGTGTTCGGGAGAACGAGGCGCGGACGCCTTTGTTGACGACTCGCGGAAAGACGAACTTGCGCTCGAATTTCTCTCTCTCTCTCTC